CCTGCAATTTATAGCTTCCTAGCTCAATTTTTTATGGGTACGGCTCAATACTTATCAACACCCCCTTGTATGAGAGTAATCAACACCTCTATCCATATTGAAGGTATTTCTGATGGAAGGGGCAAATAGATTAAACATCCCCTTACAAATTAAAAGTCATAATGATGGTCATTACCTTGCAGATGCTGATGTACTGCAACATCTAGTATGAGTAACCTTAGCGAGCCACAGGCAATGATTTGAGGTCTTCAGTGTTTCAGTCCAGCATCCCAAAGGCAACAACCTGACCATGCCAACTTAAAAGAATCCAGATGACATATTGAGAAAGATCTATCATCTGTCAGATCTGCTTTGATTTGGATTCCAGCACTGAGCAGGGGGTAGGACCTGTGGCCTTATGGGCCCCTTCCAACTGAATTATTCTATGAAATGCATTCTATGAAATTAAGAAGGACAGTACAGTGGTGCCTCGCTTAACGAGCGTACCGTATAACGACGAAATCACATAGCAATCTCTTTTTTGAGATCGCTAATGCGATCGCTTACCGATGGCTTCTATGGCCAAAACTCGCATTGCAAAGGTCGGTAAGCGTTTCACTTACCGATCTTCGCATTGCGACGCAGGGAAATCAGCTGTTCGGCGGCTCCAAAATGGCTGCCGGACGACGCAAAATGGCCACCGCAACCATTTTCGTGCCCTGCCCTCGCTTACCGAGGGCACGAAAATGGCGGCGCTATGATGAAACTTTGCTTAACGGTGAGTATAGAAGCCATTGGAACGCATTAAATGTTTTATGCGTTCCAATGGCATTTTGCGTCCCGATTAGCGATGTTTCCTCATAGCGAGGGTTAATCTGGAACGGATTAACCTCACTATGCAGGGCACCAGTGTAGTCCATTGCATCTGGAGCAGGACAGGTGCGAAGAAACAAAAATTGACACACTAGACAAACACAGTTTAATTAAATTCATTCCACAAATGCTGGTCATTGGGAGGCCAGCTTCATTCTGATTTATAGCATTCACTGCTTTTGAAATTACGTAAGAACAAGATCCCACTCCAAGGAGCTTCATTTGTTGGATTACAGTTCTCTTAGTCCCTGACACTGACCATGCTAACCAGAAGTGATTGAGGAAGGAGGCCATAGTTCCACTAGCCCTGATATAAAATACGATGGAATGGAGGCAACCAAGGCACCTGCGACTCTTCCTCCCTCTGTGCAGCCCTCCTCCTCCTCCGCACAGCAATCACATTCAACCCCTGCACATGGGGGAGGGGGCGGGGCTTCAGCGCAATGAGAGGGACATTCCAGGGAGAAGCTCCTAATGTTGTTTACCAAAACAAACAAAGCCTGAAGCACAGACTGAGTTGCGGCCATCTTTTTATGGCTCCTAGTCTGCACAGCAATCACATTCAACCCCTGCACATGGGGGAGGGGGCGGGGCTTCAGCGCAATGAGAGGGACATTCCAGGGAGAAGCTCCTAATGTT